GTGTGTGTGTGTGTGTGTGTGTGTGTGTGTGTGTGTGTGTGTGTGTGTGTGTGTGTGTCTTTAAAATAACCTAGTTTAGAAGTAACAGTAAGCATGTTTAGCCACTTTGACCTCTTGATCACCTGTAAAACGTTTTCCTGTAGCTCTGAAGTCATGAGTTGCTGGTTGGCAGACTTCATGGGTGCAGCAAACCACTGACATCTGTCTCTGTCTTCCACCTGGATGCACTCCAGCCACGTGCAGTCTCTGTCAGCAGCCGTGTGTGCACAAATCACACATCACTGTTTTACGATCAATTGTTTGTTTTTCACCCAGCAGCTTTGTGGAGTGGAACAAATTCAGTTATTCCACTTGTGTTCACTCACAGCTTATACAAAGAGAAGAACAGGATTTGTTGCGTGCTGAGTAAACATTGATGCTTTCTGTCATTCATGAGACTGAGTCAAAAGGTACAGTGGGTGAACTTCATGTACTGAGTGACTATGATGAACCAGATGTGTATTTCATGTCATAAACATCTGAGTTTCATTGTGTTCAAATCTGAGTTGTGATTGCAGAACTGGTTGTGAAGTTTTTTCCTTTTAGTGTGTGTCTGCAGGTGTGTGTGTGTAGTCTTTATTCTGGTATCAACAAACTTAAGGGTCAAAGAGAGTTGCAGTAAAAAAGAGAGGAAGTAACATTGTGTTATAAGAAGAAGCCTTGCACACTTACTAAAAAATAAAAAGTCAACAAAAAAATCATCTTTTTAATTCCTTGTTGTTCAATCATCCAAAAGGGTCCATTTCAATTGAACTTCAACAACTTCTTGGGACATGAAGCAACATTTTTATGTTTCTGCAGCTAGTGTCTACACCCAACAGACATGGTGTGAGAGGCAGGGTACACTTTAGGACCATCACACAGAGACAAACAGCCATTCACAATGTTTTTTTTTTATCTGTCAGAAGAAGCCTGAGAACCTGGAGTAAACCCACACGTGTACAGGGTAAACATGTAAACTCCACACAGAAAGGACTGAGAGGTGATTCTGCAAACTTCTACTAACCACGGTGCCACCATGAAACAAACGAGAAGGCAGCAAAACTGCAGAAAAGTGTTTGGATCAAGTAAGTACAACTGTATCTGAGGCTGACAGACAATCTGAGGAGATTTTGATGAATTATTAGAATTTCAACTCTAATAATATTGAATAAGGATGCACGATATATCGGTATTGATATCAGTATCGGCCATTATTGGCAATTCTTTAGAATATCAGTATCGGTCCAATATGTAAAACTGGACCGATATTAATGTCAGTCAGTATTTAATACAGCTGGCAAAATAAATTGTTAAAATAGTTATGATGTGCTTCTGTTTTTTTTAATTCAGGAGATTATAAAAAATCCTTCATTTTATGGAAAGACCCTCTTGATTCAAGAGAAAACTCCAGTTTTTTAAAATGGCTGCTTATCAATTAATTGTTGGTCAATCTATAAGATAAATCAACTTCAGATTAATTCATTAATCAATAACTTGCATCCCTAATTTATACAGGAATGAAATGAATTTTTACCTACTCATATTCATGTAATTAAGCGTTTTAAGGATTTGACCGATTAATAGATTAATCGAAAAAATAATTGACAGATTGATCGATTATGAAAATAATCATTAGTTGCAGCCCTAGTTCTGTGGTTGAAAAAAACATCATGCATTCACCAAAACTGCAAAACAACCTTGGCATTTTAAAATCCACCACCTTGTCTGGACACAGTTAGAAAAATGATCAACTAACTACACCTGATAAAAGCAAATAAGAAAAATAAACTTTCAAAATTTATAAGTTCAAAAAACAAACATTGACCTTTTTTACGCAAAGCTGTAAAATAATGTAGGCATACTGAGGACTGACTGTAATAAGGCCAACAATTACAGGAAAAATCTGAGTTCACCTGATTAAATGAAACTGTAATGCTTTTTTAGAGAAAAACAGGTAATTAACTTTATTTTCAATGGTGGGAAATTTATAAGTAGGGATGCACAATATATCAGCATTCATATCAGTATTGGCTGATATTGGTCATTTTTTTAGAATATTGGTATCGGTCTGATATGTAAAACTGGGCCGATATTAACATCTGATATTGATTTCCCACTTTTATCTTTGTGTTTCTGTTTTGGGAGAGGAGATGGTTGTTTGAGCAGCATCTGTTTGATCATAATAGTGATATTGATGCTGTGTAACCAGGAATAACTGAAGTAGAGTCATGTCAGAGGTCTGGTAGTTTATTTATGGTATCAAAAAAAGACCCAAGTGTGTTTGTGTGTATATGTATAATATAATTTGTCTGTTTGTGTAATATTGGTAAATATCAGTTATCAGCCATAACAGCAATAATTATATCGGATATCGATATTGGCTGAAATTTTCATATCAGTGCGTCCCTAATATTGAATATGTTGTTCAAAGACTCTTTCACAGCAACTTACAGTCAAGCCAACAAAAAATATGAAACACTTATTATTAAAATACTTAGTTAAAAACTGTAATTTCCCCTCGGGATCAATAAAGCATTCTCATTCTGATTATAAAGTAAAATTATAAATTTAATTCATCATTACAAACTTGCAGCAGCAGCAATGATTGTTTGTTTTTGGAGTTGTTTATCGTCCAATAAATACAAAAAATGTAACTTCATATTAACATTTTTTTTTGTTTTTTAAACAAGCTTTTATTGGAAACTCAGTAACATTATTTCCTAACATTCCTGCCAGCTTGCATGCAAAGTTTTGAACAAAACTCTCGTGTGTGTTAGTTATTGCTCAGAGTGTGTGTTGGAGATGACTCCAGCTACTGCCACACCAAATTTTACCTCAGTATCTATAAAATAGTCTGTGTTATAACAAGTTTTTAATGTTCACAAATGTTGATTAGCTTTGGCAGCCGTCATGAATTGGGTTGACTAATGTGTACATCCAATAACAACTTTCTGAGAGTTAAATTAAAACCTACCTAGTGGTTCATGAGATATTTTGCTAACAGGTAACTGCAACAGTTAAGGCCAAAGTTTTAAACAACGATGTGACATGCTCTGTTTGTACTTAAGTGTATTTAAGAGGAACTGTCTGACTATAATGAGGTTAAAGAGAAAATTAAGCCCACAGAGGCATGAGGGCCTTTGGTAAGTTCACCTTGGGTCCAGGTAATCATCTTTTTGTGGCCTCAAGGTGACAAAAAGAGCAAAAGAAAAAACGTCCAATAACAGTATTCCCCCAGGGTGGTTGTGAGCAGCAGGTCTGAGAGAAAAAGCAGCTTAACAAACGACTTCTTGGCACAGGTTTGGGAAGGACAGCGTTAATGCTGAGCTGACAGGATGATGGAGGAGCAGGCCAGTGTTTCCTAACATCTCATTCTGTTACTCACCTCAGGCTAAAGTTTTACCAACAGACGGCTTGAAATCCTTCCTTATTTCTGCTTTTCACACTTTAGAGCTTCAGACAATATTCTCCTCTCATCATGATGTCTCAGCTTGTGGGCAGCTTCTTTTAAACCATGTTTACATTTCCTGATTGAAACGTGAAGCGCTTTGGAGTCCGTGATAAAGCTCTATATAGGTTCAAGCCATTTACCATTAAAAATTAAGGGAAGTTAATGCTAACTGCTAAGCTGACTGTCTCTCAGTTGTTTTCTGTTGATTTAATTTGATGGGTGGGATAGTTTGTGACGAACCGGCCAATCCAAACCAAAGTCATGATACTCCCAGTTTATCCCTTTCAGAATAAAAACATTTCTTTGATCAGGTTTGTATTTTTATAAATATCATTTGCATGAATAAATAAAGGTAAAATAATAGTGATAAAAATAAATAAATTAAAAATAAATAAATAAAATAAATAAATAATAAATAAAACCTGACAAAAAAAATCCAAAAAAGGCATTATTTATTAACAGCACCAACAGCTCAGTCGGTAATTAAAAATGCAGCCTTGATTGTGTGTCCCAAATTTTTAAATAAATAAAACAAACTGAATTTACACAGACATCACAACGCTACAAATATTATTATAAATAGAAGGATGTGGGATTTCTGTAGTTTACAATGAGATTGTTTTGTCTTTAAATAGAAAAGGTAATTTATAGCAATATGAACACGAGTAAGAAATAAATACCTGCTGTTCTCCTAACATGCCAAACTGGATGTTTCTCAGAAGTAATATTTACACATCGGCCATTATAAACATTAAAATACAGTGGTCAGTCTAATAATTTATAGACTGGTTTTTAAATAAGAACAGTTTGGTAGTTCACTAAAAGCACATCACAAAAACTAAATTTTCTTAATGTCCCTTTTTTAAAAGTAGCATTGATTCATTTCAGCTGGATGTGGAAAAAACATGTTTCAGCCTGAGGTGGGCTTGTGGAGGTCAGTCTATTGTCCAGTAGTTTCTATGATCCAAATATTGATGATTTCTCAATGACCTTTTGTTTTCTGCTGGCCCCAGTTCGTGCTCACTGTTCAGGGTCTGAAGGAAAAAAGAAAAGGGGGTCCAAACAGTAATAATGGGGTCTCAGGAAGCAAAGTAGGAGGTCTGCATGGAGTAAAGGCTGTCGATGGGGTTTCCTGTTCGTGCCTGAAGCAAGTCTGGAGTTGACACGAAGCAGTCGCTGAAACTTGTATGAGAGGCGTCACTGTCCATGTCATAGATGATAGAATCCATTTCTAATGATGGGAAAGACAAGAGCAGAACATCAACACATGTAGATGCACAAAACATTTAGAATCCCAATGTAGAAAAACACTTTATTATTGGAAATAACTATTTCAAATAGTAAAACTAAATAACAAAAATCCTCACCAGTAGATTTGAACCAATTAAACTTCACTGCTTTCACTTGGACAAATGTTTTGACAGTTTTGAAGAAAAAAAAATTCTGTTTATCACTGATTTTAATGCACCACTCTTAGGGTGTAATTTGCGTACTTATCTATTTTTATGATTAAACAGTAAGTGACATGTCACTGTCAACTCAAATTGTACTCTCCTCACTGCAAAAACTGTCCATCTTACCAAGTTTTAAAACCTTACATCAGCCAAAAAGTCTTTTTGATCTTGTTTTGAGACTGATTTACTAAATAAGAACGGATTGTGTAAGAATAATAATCTTGATTTCAGAATGTGTAAGATTATTTGTCTTGTTAGTCTAGAAATTTGACTCAAATTAAGTCAAAAATTTCTGCCAATGGAGTAAGAAAATTTTACTTGGTAAGATTCTTGAAATACTTGATTTGACTCAGTTTTTTCTTATTTCAAGAATCTTACCAAGTAAAATTTTCTTACTCCACTGGCAGAAACGTTTGACTTAATTTGAGTCAAATTTTCAAACTAACAAGACAAATAATCTGACAAATTCTGAAAACAAGATTATTATTCTTACACAATCAGTTCTTGTTTAGTAAATCAGTCTCAAAATAAGATCAAAAAGACTTTTTGGCTGATATAAGATTTTAAAACTTGGTAAGATGGACAGTTTTTGCAGTGCTTGATGCATTAGTTAATACATGCCTTAACCACGCACAACACATAACTTTTTTTTCCCACTATAATCAGAAGTGTTGTTACAGAGCCGGGCTTTTCCATAGGGAGTTCTGCCACAGATCAGATGTGATGCAGGAAAAGGGGCTGGGCTCATCAACAAGGTGTTATAACGTGCTTGCTTCCTGAATTCGGAGCCATTTGCAGAGATAATAAATTGTCTGTTGAAGGCCTAACCAGCTGGTTTGTATGTGTTTCTTGCTTATGCACAACAGTCAAGTCTTAATTCTGTATTTGTTCCCTTGTCCTCTACATATATTGGAGAAACTGAACACATTATTATTTTACAGTTATCTCCTTGCAAATATTAGTTTTATAATATTATGGTGATAACATTTGGGAGGCATCCAAAATGACTAGATAAAATTTAAATATTTGATTGCTGCCTCTAAATAAGAACAGACCATAGAGGTCTACTGTATATTGAAGTCTTGAACACACGACTGTGTGATCTACTGGCAGCGCTAAGAAAAATGGGCAACAGTATGGGTTTACAGTGTTACTGTACATACTAACAAAATAGTGAACAATACGAGATGATTTTTATAAAAAAAATTGTAAAAACTATTAATGATTGTATTAACAAAAATACCACTAATAAATTGGATTGTGTATCAGCTATCTAATGTACATAAAAACATCAGCAAGCTGTGTGTGTTGGATTTAACAATAGAAAAGAAACAGGAAAATATTTCATTTCACAAGTAAACAGATTGAATCTTATTTATCTCAACATGGATGTGATCTGACCAGATCTGAAGCTAATAAGGTAATAATTTAAGATTAAAATAAGTTTATAAATCTGGTGTAATTACTGATATTTATGTAACACATGTTGTTATACAGAGTGTAGAACTATGTTGAGTCAGGCTACAATTTAACACAAATTTTAAATATTACAAGCTGATTTATCCTCTGATTTAGGTAATATTTACACAGTTTAAAATAATATTATACTGTATATTTAGCTGTTTTTAGTTTTCTATTTGACAAACCTGATTTGTTGAGAAGATTACTCTAATATCAAACAAGTTTTATTTTATAACCAGATATGAGGAGAATATTTTCTAAGTGTCGACTGGTAAATATTTATTATTATTTATGACAAATAGAAATAATACTTTATTAGCTGAAGTCATTATTTTTCAACTAGCTAAATGTTGAAGTGACTGACAGACCTCAGGTCTGGATTAGATCATTATTACTTAGAAATTTAAATTTTTTATTGTATATATATACGTATATATGCTGTTTTACATAATTATTGAATGTAATGAACAGCATTAAATAATTTAGCATTTAGTAAAATATTACAGATAATGTGTGACACAGATCTAGTTGGGCTTGCTGAGGGCTGTGAGGTAACGCCCTGTATGGTCACTATTTCTGCTCCTTGTCACAGATGCTAACAGTGATACAGATAAGTGGGGCTCAGTCTAGTGTTTTTTAACTCTATGGAACAGACACATTCCACTGATGATCCAGTTCTGCAACTGATTTGCAAAACTTTTGGACAAATCTCTTGTATTTGATCACTTTAGAGTCTCCAGTCAGTAATATGGAACAAAAAAAATCAGTCAAATGCAAAACAAGCTTAAAGAAATAATCCATCAATACGGAACAGATCCAGTTGTGCGTGATGCTAACCGAACGGGTTCATGTGGTCTCCAGGCATCTGTGGCGGGGTGAGGCCCTGCTGGAAGGGGTCAGTGCTGTAGCTGTGGTGCTCCATGGTCATCATCTGCTGACCTGGAGGAAGAGGCCCTGAGTAGGAACTGAGCAGACCCTCCATACAGCCAGGTACCACCTCTGTAGAAGTGAGAGGCAAAAAGTGAAAACAGGTTCCTCCACCTGTGTACTGTACAACAGAATCATCTTTTGTCCCTCAGAAATATCCACTCATTTACATAAACTTAGCACAAAAAGTAAAGAAATTTGTCTTTGGAAGATCAATTCTTTATTGTATCAAAGCTTCTTGGCAATTAAATGGTGCTGCATTTGTAAGGAACATGCATTTGTGAAAAAAATTGCCAAGTCTTTTTTTTGCCAAACAGCTTATTTTGCTGTTGCTCATGTCACTTGTTTTAAGCTTCTGGTTCTCCCCAAATGCAACCAGTCAGGTGCCTGATGTAAGATTTATTATACCAGAGAGCATTGTTAACAAAGAAATAATCTAACACACACAAAATTCCTTACATTTTGTGTGAAGTTTACATGTGACAGAAAATTTTACTCACATCCACCAGGTTTGTGCAGAAGTGCCGGACTTGGTAGCATGTTACAGTCATTTAACTATCTTTTAGTGGGCTGTTAATGAATATTGCTTCATTTTTGTATAATATCTTAGATGTTAAAAAATTGCTGTCTTCTTTCTTTGTATTATGCAACATTACAAAGTTTTTTCAATTTAGGTTTAGCCTACATTCATTTTTCTTGCATTGTAGATGGGAGAGTCAAAGCACTGCTAAAAATCTTTAGCAGAATTTTAGTATGGTAGACCTCCTGAAGAGCTCTCACAATTATACCTCAATTAAATCTGGCACTCATATCACGTGGTTCCATCCAAGATCAGGTTTGAAGAATGAAAAGCTATTCATAGCACGAGATTAAATGTCTCCTATATTTTATTCAGTTACCGTATTTATTCATGTATAATACGAACCCCCCTTTTTGAGCTTAAAAAACATAAAATAWTTAATCCTCAAACTACCTCCGATTTCATACAGACTTCAAGATTTTTCATCCTTTGCAGTCTTTATACATATCAGTAAAATGATCATTGGACTGTTCATTTTATTTTAACAACATATGTACTAAAAGGTATTTTGACAACAAMTAYACAGTATATCAGCTGTAGCAGCATCATATGAATKCTGGCATTTTACACATAGTCCACCAGGAGGCGCCAACACAAAAGTCAGAGACTTCACATGAGATTTGGCCCATCTTGTGGGGGAAAAGCAGATTACTTCCTACTCACGAGCGCCCCCCTCTGGTGGGGAAACATTTTTTCAGGGATACAAACTTTTTCAGAACACCTGTAGACGCAGCCATTACAGATTAACGTGTTTGTTGTTGTTCGAGGAGCGGCTCAGTCACACGCTAATGTTATTAGTTCATTATCATTACTGAGGTGCAGGAATACTTTCCCCCCTTTTTTTCACATCATGTCGCCTGCTTGGATCTGTTATTATCTCACTCTGAAGCACGGAGGAGTGTCAGAGGTAAGCTCGCTTCAACTGCTTTTAATGATGCAGTCTCATTTCCGGACTCAGGCATTTTGCTGATATTTCAGTTAAAATACATAAGTAAAAATATTTATCTGAGTATAGTACTAACTCCCAACTTTATGGATGATTTTATGGATTTAATTTTACCTATTATACTTGAATAAATATGGTAATTTCATAGCTTTCATAAAAAAGAAAAAGAAGTTGGTGACATAAATGATTAAATTTACTGTCTGCAATGAGCTCAGGCTTTCATCTTTTTCCAGCTCATAACGTGTCAGATAAAGTTGCTCATTTTCGTCTTTCAGTAAATAATAATGTCCCTGAATGTGTTTGATTCCTGGTTCAAATTAAAAGTATGGAAATACATAAAAAGGACATTTTGCTTTGTAACACTGAGCCCAGAGAGATGTAAAGCAAAATGTCACACCCATAATTTTTATTCAAACAGTATCTTATAGAAAACATACAATAAATCTCCAGACTGAATGGTTGTCTGATCTTGAGGATCACCCAACATCCATGTGGCTCCAGCTTGATCTAAACAATTCAACTTCAAACAATCCCCATTTGCTGGTTTGCTCTGCTCATTTGGTTATCGGCAGCAGCTTCCGCTATAATAAACCCTGCTTCACTGCCAATATTGACACTCTGGAAGTCCCTGAGCAGATACGGGCTGCACTTGCCAAAGCAGCGACGACACTTATCTAAACTGTCTGCTCATATCCGCTGAGAGATCACAGAGGCAATAAGCCCACCAGCCATGAGGAGCTGTGCCACACAGAGAATTGTGGCTCCTCATTTTACAGCTCTGTTGTCGGAAAAACTCATATTTACCAGCAGTGATGCAACTCTGGCTTCAGAACACGGGACGCATTTTAAAGCTGACAAAACTGGGAGTGTTTGCTGAGCGACTGCACGCTGTTTATTGTTCCTGTAATAAATGTAATATTTCAAGCTGTTTCTTCAAACAATTCATCAATGACTCAGCTCTCCCTAATCAGTGTCCTTTCAGTTATAATGAACATGTTCTGTTCCACGAGTACTTTTCCTTTGGTCATGAGAAGTATTACAGTACATATGAATAATAATATATCCTTACCTTGTCTGAGCCTTTGACTGTTGTGTTGCTCCTGCTGCTGCTGCTGTCTGCGAGCTAACTTCTTCATCTGTAAAAGAAATAAACCAGAGGAACTTTATGCTTGAAGAAAACACACACATACACACACACACACACACACACACACACACACACACACACACAC